TATGTTCCTAACCATCTAATTATATTACTGTATAATTTTACTTTATTATAATAATGTTTATTGGTCCACCCTGTATTAGAATAATGTTTATTGGTCCACCCTGTATTAGAATAATGTTAATTGGTCCACCCTGTATTATAATAATGTTTGTTGGTCCACCCTGTATTTGCATAATGTTTGTCAATCCACCCTATCTCACAATAATGTTCACAGATCCACCCTGTATTTAAATCATGTTAGTTGGTTCACCCTGTCATCGAATAATGTTTGTTGATCCACCCTGTATTAGAATAATGCTTGTTGGTCCACCCTGTATAAGTATGAATTGAAGAGATGAAAATATATGTATTTAAATACTCCTCCTGCAGGGGTTGAATGCTGTTGAAAAGAATCCTGTAATCCTTGAATGACGTGAAGTGTAAACACTACATGTGACTTGACAAAACAATATTTTTCTTCTTTAAATTGATGATAATTTAACCACACTTTCAAGGATCTGTAGATGTAGTTTTGAGTGACCCACCCGATTCACAACAGTACCCCTCAAACTTATTTTTGTAAAAAAAACGTTGTTTTTTTGGTTGAAAAAAGTGTTTAATTCTAACAATTTCTCCAATGTTTCTCAAGCAAGAAATAAATTGAAACGTCACTTTCTAGAGAAACAGCAAATGAAAATAAAGAAAAATATGGATATCTATTTCATACTTGATCAGACAAAGCTTTCAAGGGAACCGTTGTAAATCGGACATGTGACTTTATCGATGTAGTGACACTTGAAATTGCGTTTAATATTCCTTGAATTCACAAGAACACTCATTCGGTTCTTTGGCTACTTTTTGAAGCTTGTTTACTCTTAGAGAACCGAATCCTAAACTTTTACAGCCTTTTTATCAACATTATCGACCTACTTATGATTCCCCCTAAAAGGGGGAGGTTAGATTACTTAACGTCCCTTGGGATAGGTATGTAAAATAACCACCAGCTCTGCGAAGTTTTCGGGGGAAAAATTGCGCATTTTCATCTCAAAAGCTAGAAGATAAAATTGTGTACAACTACTTTTTCGGGAAATTAAAAAATTTACTTAACCACACGATGAACATTTTATCCTTTGATGAAACTTTTATCCTTTGATATAAATTTTTTCCGTTAATGATACTTTTATCCTTTGATGAAACTTTATCCTTGGAACTTTTTAATTTTAGATATTCCAGTGGCGATCAGAGAGAGGGATTTTTCAGGAAAACATTGAAGAAAGAAACTCATTTTTTATTTAACAAATATTTAATATTCATTTGAACCAAATACAGTGTTAAAACCTTTATCTTATCAATAATATGGAAGAGTTGTCTAGCTTGGAAAGTGTTAAATTCTTATAATTCCCACATTGCTTTTCTGCAGCAGAAATGCGCAAGTCACAGAAAAACCACAATTAAAAATAATTAATGTTTAGAATTCGAAACTTATCTAATTTATTCTTGATCTAAATATAGATATGGATAACAAATAACATTTTCTCTTATTTTTAACTTTTTTTTAACATCTTTTTATTTGTTTCTTCTATACAGTGATAACATACTGGATGGACAAGTAATCTACACACGGTAAACATGTTCAAGTAATCTATACACGGTAAACATGTTCAAGTAATCTACACACGGTAAACAAATTCAAGTAATCTACACACGGTAAACAAATTCAAGTAATCTATACACTGTAAACAAATTCAAGTAATCTATACACGGTAAACGAATTCAAGTAATCTTCACACGGTAAACAAATTCAAGTAATCTATACACGGTAAACAAATTCAAGTAATCTTCACACGGTAAACAAATTCAAGTAATCTACACACGGTAAACATGTTCAAGTAATCTATACACGGTAAACAAGTTCAAGTAATCTATACACACGGTAAACAAATTCAAGTAATCTTCACACGGTAAACAAATTCAAGTAATCTACACAGTGTAAACAAATTCAAGTAATCTACACACGGTAAACAAATTCAAGTAATCTTCACACGGTAAACAAATTCAAGTAATCTACACACGGTAAACAAATTCAAGTAATCTACACACGGTAAACATGTTCAAGTAATCTACACACGGTAAACATGTTCAAGTAATCTACACACACGGTAGACATGTTCAAGTAATCTACACACGGTAAACAAATTCAAGTAATCTACACACGGTAAACATGTTCAAGTAATCTACACACGGTAAACAAATTCAAGTAATCTACACACGGTAAACAAATTCAAGTAATCTACACACGGTAAACAAATTCAAGTAATCTACACACGGTAAACATGTTCAAGTAATCTACACAGGGTAAACAAATTCAAGTAATCTATACACGGTAAACATGTTCAAGTAATCTACACACGGTAAACATGTTCAAGTAATCTATACACGGTAAACAAATTCAAGTAATCTACACACGGTAAACAAATTCAAGTAATCTATACACTGTAAACAAATTCAAGTAATATACACAGGGTAAACAATTTCAAGTAATCTACACACGGTTAACAAATTCAAGTAATCTACACACGGTAAACAAATTCAAGTAATCTATACACGGTAAACAAATTCAAGTAATCTTCACACGGTAAACAAATTCAAGTAATCTACACAGGGTAAACAAATTCGAGTAATCTACACACGGTAAACAAATTTAAGTAATCTACACAGGGTAAACAAATTCAAGTAATCTACACACACGGTAAACAAATTGAAGTAATCTACACAGGGTAAACAAATTCAAGTAATCTACACACGGTAAACAAATTCAAGTAATCTATACACACGGTAAACATGTTCAAGTAATCTACACACGGTAAACATGGTCAAGTAATCTATACACGGTAAACATGTTCAAGTAATCTACACACGGTAAACAAATTCAAGTAATCTACACACGGTAAACATGTTCAAGTAATCTACACACGGTAAACATGTTCAAGTAATCTACACACACGGTAGACATGTTCAAGTAATCTACACACGGTAAACAAGTTCAAGTAATCTACACACGGTTAACAAATTCAAGTAATCTACACAAACGGTAAACAAACTAAAGTAATCTACACAGGGTAAACAAATTCAAGTAATCTACACACGGTAAACAAATTCAAGAAATCTACACAGGGTAAACAAATTCAAGTAATCTACACACACGGTAAACAAATTCAAGTAATCTACACACAGTAAACAAATTCAAGTAATCTACACAGGGTAAACAAATTCAAGTAATCTACACACACGGTAAACAAATTCAAGTAATCTACACACACGGTAAACAAATTCAAGTAATCTATACACACGGTAAACAAATTCAAGTAATCTACACAGGGTAACAAATTCAAGTAATCTACACACGGTAAACAAATTCAAGTAATCTACACACGGTAAACAAATTCAATCAGAATAATTGAAAACAATTATAACGAAATTTTTTCTTATAGATTTATTTTCAATCTTTTAAATAATAGTTTCAGAAAAAATCTTTATTCCTTAAGGGGGGNAAGTAAACTTTCAAGAAAAAAAATGCGCCAAACGCACGCGCATGCACATTTCGCTCAAATTAGGGAAAGGAATTAATTCTTTGCCACAAACTCTGATTATCAAATCCTTCTATCTTTGCATCTAAACTTTGTAGATTTAGCTTTTTCAAACTATGAATTCTGAGCTGGGAACTTTAGAATGGATAACCTTTAATCCCAACTACTTAATCCGAATATCCACTGTGGAAACTTTTAATTTTAATCCTTAATCCACTCTTTTTCGCTCTCTTTGGATATCCGAACATAATTTTCTCCAATGAGTGTGCAGGAATAAAGTTCGTAAATTGTATTGACCAATGACAGCCTTGAAAATAGATTCTATCCCATGAGAGAAATCCGCAATTTCTAACAAATAAAGAATTTGTTGTCGGCCATTTTGTAAATTAAACGATGAAGAAAAATATTTAATAATATGTTTAAGATTCTTTTGTAACCAATTTAAACTAATTTATTAATAAAGAAATGGGGGTAAAAAAAATAAGTGAAGGCCATTCCAGTCAAGAAAAAAAACCAATCTGGCGTTTTTAGAACCCAATTTGTTGATCTAAATATTTAATCTCAAGACTAATATAATCTCGAGATTGTGTTAGTCTCGAGATTAGCAAAAACAGAGGATCAAGCATAAATCCTGATATCCACCATTCTAAAGTTCGCAGCTCTGATAGAACAAAAAAATGATAATATGAAAAATCTAAGGTTTACATCGGCAGGTTGCTACGATATACGGATTAGAACTATTTGAGGTTGTGACAAAGACTAAACTCCTTAACTCAAGGAAGCGCAAATTATGGCGTTACAAAAAATTAGCGCATTGCGTTTTTTTTTTATTTTGATGGAATCCTTACATATTACTTGTTATAACAAATTTTAAAATCTAAGAATAATTCTCAAAAGAATATTTGTTTTCGGTGCTTTTGATTAAAAGTAAGAATTAACTAAATAAGAGAACCTCCTCCCTTCACCTCCCTTTGTTTTTAATAATTTTTTTTTCTTTTAATATAGATTTTTTGTTTCAGGAACGACGGGGTGACATTTATTGAAAAATGGACGAATGGGACTAGGTGAAAACAAAATAATTTTATTTTATTTGGATTTTTTGTATACAAAACTTGGTTCTAAATATTTTATTCTCTTTTTTTAAATTTTAGTCTGAAAACAAATTGCAAAAACGGTGTTTGGTACTTTCCCAATGGCATTTTCCCTTGGGCAACTTCCCAAGTGACAATTTCCCAAGTGGCAACTTCCAAAGGTGCAATTTCCCAAGCGGCAACTTACCAAATGTACATTTTCCCAAATGACAATTTCCCAAGTGGCCACTTCCCCATGAAGGGAAAACGGCATTTTCCCCATGAAAGAAACTAAATAAACATTTAACGTTTACATTTAAAAAAAAAAATTATCAATTTTTTTTAGAAAACACGTAACTTAAAAATATGCATTCAGTTTCTCTCAGCAAGAACATGTTGGCGGCCTTCACCCTTTTTTAAAGGATAAAAATGTATTAAACGAAGCTAGGCTAGGTTTGGACGGGCTAGGGGAACGAGCGCTGATTTTCTAATCGCTATATCTTAACAACCAAATGTCGTAGACCTTAGATATTTCAAACTATTGATTTGGTTAAATCAAATGATCTAAGGTTTACCTCTATAGGTTGCAAAGATATTTGCATTAGAAAATTTGATTTTGTGGCAAAGACTCAATTCCTTTGCTCTTTTTCAAAATGTCGAAATTACTAATGCTTTTCTAGTAAATATTGCTGACAGGTCGGGGATTCGAAAACCCTCTTTGAAAATTTAAAAAATTAATGAGAATGAACACGGAAAGTATCGTCAAATTTTACAAACTTTTACAAAATGATTTTGTCCACGAGATATTTTTGTATCAAAATATATACAAAATTATATTTTACAATGAAGACGACTTTTTTATATAAGTTTGGATTTCTAACAAAAATTTTTCAATTAACAAATTTACAAGTAAGCAATAAGATGCTGTTAATTGACAGCTTCTCTTCCTTTCCATGTTTTTGTGTATCCAAGCTGTTTGAAAGATTAGTAGAAATAAAAATTGAAATCGAAATTCGTCTTCCTTATATTGATAAATACGACGACGACTTATTTTGATTTGATCTGTAGGTTGGTGGATGAAGATCAGCTGGTTCAAGTTGGTCTAAATTTGGCGGACATTATTACTCCTAAATCTTCAGATAACATCAGGGGCGCTATGTCATTTGTCGCATTGGTCCTGTAATCATTTATCTGACATATTATTTGTCCTACACATTTGTCCTACAGTTAAATGATGTGTAGGACAAACGTTTGGAGGACAATTGATTGTAGGACAAATGACATAGTGCCGTCTCATGATTAGTGACAATGACGAAACAGCAGTTAATAATGATCAAACCGCAGTTAATGATGATCAAACCCCAGTTAATGATGATCAAACCGCAGTTAATGATGATCAAACAACTGACAATAATGATCAAACCGCACTTAATGATGATCAAACCGCAGTTAATGATGATCAAACAACTGAAATCAAAGAGAATATTCCAAATCTGAAATTGAGCAGAGAAGAACAAAATGGAATCAATTTGGAACTCATTCAAAAGGCCATAAGGTAGTACAAAGAATATTTAATCTTTGACAAAAAAAGTTTGACTAAATCTCGTAAAATATTAAATTGTTCTTGCTAGGGACAATTGTTTTTTCATTCATCATTTTAAATTGTTGTAATAGAATTTTTTTAAATTGTTTTTTTAACTACCATTTTTTCTTTGAAACATCTGAAAAAATTCGCAAATTTCCTTTATCTTTACAAACTAATGTCTTAGACCTTAGATATTTTAAACTATGAATTCTGTTAGATCAAATAATCTAAGTTTGAAAAATCAAAGGTTTACACCATCAGGTTGCTAAAAAAAAGGGGATTATAATATTTGATTGTGTTGCGAAGACTCAATTCCTTTTTCTGTTTACACCGATGGATTTCCAACAACAAAGTTCTAGGCAATATTTTTAATACTTTCCTTCGGTCATGTGAATTGCCAATTGACCACATACTTTGATTTTCTAATCCCTATATATTTCCAACCTGATGGTCTAAACCTTCGTTATTTCAAACTTAGACTTTCTGATATAACAGAATTCATAGTTTGAAATATCAAAGGTCTAAGACATCGGGTTGCAAAGATATAGGGATTACAAAATTAGAGTTTGTGGGAAAAAAACTCATTTCTTTTGGGCCATATCGGTTCAGCCATTTTGACGTTTATTGGATACAGACAGACAAATCATTTTGTTATCATTTTTTTTCCAGATCTGGGGATAAACGTGCACTCTTCGCAGCAAAAGGTAGGCTTTCTTAAAATATGCTAAAAATGTAATCTAACTCTAGCAGACGATTATTCTGATTACATCTTATAGGCATCACCATTCACCATACTAAATCAAAAACATAATCTTCACTCTAAACTCCCAAGTTCCAAAAGAAGAAAAAATATTCTGATTGTTTTAGATGAGCTCAAAAACAAGGAGAACAGTGTCGAGTACGCAAATATAAAAAGCGATTCGAGGTAAATACCACAAAATATGATTCAAGGTAAATGCCACAAAATATGATTCAAGGTAAATACCACAAAATGTGATTCAAGGTAAATACCACAAAATATGATTCATGACCACATACTTTGATTTTCTAATCCCTATATATTTCCAACCTGATGGTCTAAACCTTCGTTATTTCAAACTTAGACTTTCTGATATAACATAATTCATAGTTTGAAATATCAAAGGTCTACGACATCGGGATGCAAAGATATAGGGATTACAAAATTAGAGTTTGTGAAAAAAAAACTCATTTCTTTTGGGCCTGATCGGTTTAGCCATTTTGACGTTTATTGGATACAGACAGACAAATCATTTTGTTATCATTTGTTTTCCAGATCTGGGGATAAACGTGCACTCTTTGCAGCAAAAGGTAGGTTTTCTTAAAATATGCTAAAATCGTAATCTAACTCTAGCTCTATGATTATTCTATTACTCTATTACGATTACTCTCTATGATTATTCTGATTACACTTTTACCAGTTATAGGCATCACCATTCACCATACTAAATCAAAAACATAATCGTCACTCTCAACTCCCGAGTTCTAAAAGAAGAAAAAATATTCTGATTTTTTAGATGAGCTCAAAAACAAAGAGAACAGTGTCGAGTACGCAAATATTAAAAGCGATTCAAGGTAAATACCACAAAATATGATTCGAGGTGAATACCACAAATTATGATTCAAGGTAAATACCACAAAATATGATTCGAGGTGAATACCACAAAATATGATTCGAGGTGAATACCACAAAATATGATTCGAGGTAAATACCACAAAATATGATTCGAGGTAAATACCACAAAATATGATTCGAGGTAAATACCACAAAATATGATTCGAGGTAAATACCACAAAATATGATTCGAGGTAAATACCACAAAATATGATTCGAGGTAAATACCACAAAATATGATTCGAGGTAAATACCACAAAATATGATTCGAGGTAAATACCACAAAATATGATTCGAGGTAAATACCACAAAATATGATTCGAGGTAAATACCACAAAATATGATTCGAGGTAAATACCACAAAATATGATTCGAGGTAAATACCACAAAATATGATTCGAGGTAAATACCACAAAATATGATTCGAGGTAAATACCACAAAATATGATTCGAGGTAAATACCACAAAATATGATTCGAGGTAAATACCACAAAATATGATTCGAGGTAAATACCACAAAATATGATTCGAGGTAAATACCACAAAATATGATTCGAGGTAAATACCACAAAATATGATTCGAGGTAAATACCACAAAATATGATTCGAGGTAAATACCACAAAATATGATTCGAGGTAAATACCACAAAATATGATTCGAGGTAAATACCACAAAATATGATTCGAGGTAAATACCACAAAATATGATTCGAGGTAAATACCACAAAATATGATTCGAGGTAAATACCACAAAATATGATTCGAGGTAAATACCACAAAATATGATTCGAGGTAAATACCACAAAATATGATTCGAGGTAAATACCACAAAATATGATTCGAGGTAAATACCACAAAATATGATTCGAGGTAAATACCACAAAATATGATTCGAGGTAAATACCACAAAATATGATTCGAGGTAAATACCACAAAATATGATTCGAGGTAAATACCACAAAATATGATTCNAATGATCTATTTACAATGAATGAATGATCTATTTACAATGAATGAATGATCTATTTACAATAAATTAATGATCTATTTACAATAAATAAGCGTAATTTGAGTGACCTACAATGCAAAATATTGGTAATGCCCGATTCACATTGAAACCTTTACCTGATCAATAATGTGGAAGAAGTCGTTTTATTTGGCTTAAAAGTATTTAATTCTTATAATTCCTAAATGTTCTCCTGTTCAATCTCAAAACAAGCTAAAATGTACATAACTAGGGCTACAAAATTTTGAAGCGAGTAAGTTAAGTAAAACAGAACCCCAAGGTGTTGCAGGCTGGATTAATAAACAATTAAACTTCAAGGACTATACCTTGAAATTAAACTTTAATGATTCTTTTGGTTTATATGCATTATACAATATACATGGTTGCATAGTTACACTGTATACGAAGCAGCGTATGTACAGAGTGTTCAAATAAACTTGAGGAGAGACAACTTTTAAATCGAGTTTAATTATTAATTAATGACAAGGAGTTTATTTTACAAGGTTGTATAGAGTATATGTTGGAAATCACAAAACTATGTGTTTATTTTGCACTTCCTTCTAGACTACAATAGTGTTTAAAATAAATGCTTTTGTAATGAAAGCCGATATAAAAGCTGTGACATTATATCTCATGTTCTCTGAGACAACCTGTATAAAACCATGTAAACTTAAAGATAATGATCAACAGTACTGGACTTGCAGACCCATTTAGTGAACAAAGGAACAAGCATTATTTTTTAATTATTCTGTAAGTTTAAAACGTTCTTATTTTTAACTTATAACCAAAAAAGTGTGACTTGCGCCTTTAATACTTTTTTTTGAGGAGTTAATCTTTTTGTTGTCTATCACATATAAAACGAGAAAAAGTGGTTCAATATGAAAAAAAATATATTTTATAGTTTTTTATATCATATATTTTAATTTTTAGCTGAGTTATCAATTTAGAAACTGTCTTTAACTGTGGAAGGGGAGATATAGTGATTTACAATGTATTGTACACCCCCTCCCTTAAATATATTCCTGTATAGGCTCCTACAATGTATTGTACACCCCCTCCCTTAAATATATTCCTGTATAGGCTCCTACAATGTATTGTACACCCCCTCCCTTAATATATTCCTGTATATGCTCCTACAATGTATTGTACACCCTCTCCCTTAAATATATTCCTGTATAGGCTCCTACAATGTATTGTACACCCCCTCAAAAATTCTACAAAAATCGAAGTAAGTTAGTGAAATAAGACAAAACCCCAAGGTGTTGCAGGCGGGATCTATGTGTCTATTTTTTCAATTAAAATTCCATCGTGCTTTGTCCATAATTCAACCATCTTTAAACTTACTGAGTAAATTGTCTTTATTTAAACCGACAGAAATGTGTAAAAAACAAAACAAATTTAGTTCAAATCACATATTCATATTTTCTAAACCCGGATGGTGTAAACCTTTGAGATTTTAAAATTAGATTATTTGAGTTAGCAGAATTCGTAGTCTGAAATATCTAAGGTCTATGACATCTGGTATCTAAGATATAGGGATTAGAATAGCAGAGTTCTTGGCAAAAAGTCAGTTCAGTTCAGGCATAAAAAGTATAAAAGATAAAAAGCTACAAATTTATGTTTGATATGTAAAATTGTGATGGAAATGTACAGCTAGATGTGATAAAACACAGAAAATGATTGACAAACAAGCTAATTTTATACATAATAGATAACTCAGTGGATATTAGAGGGACCCTATAGCGTGACCCTCCATGCAAAGATGGCAATGCCCGAATTACAGCGGTAACTTTGAAATTTTATCTAATCAATAATGTGGAAGATATTGTCGTTTTTTTGGCTTAAATTCTGTTAATTTCTATTAAATGCGCCAGTAGAAATACGCCAGTCACCTTTGCAGAGAAACCAGGATTGAAAATAATCATTTTTCAAAATTATAAACATTGATATCTTATTCATACTTAATCAGTCAAAGCTTTTAAGGGTACCGTTGTGAGTCGGGCATTGCCATTACTGCATTGAGGGCAACTTAAATCACACCGACAAAGGAATTGAGTCTTTGCCACAAACTCTGATTTTCTAATCACTATATCTTTGGAACCAAATGTTGCAGACCAAATAAAGTTTTAGATTTTAAAAACAATAAATTTTGAATTAATGAATTTGTAAACAGATCTTGTTGAAATGTAAGGAAATTGCTAAACTACAGAGTTGTGTAATCTTCATCTATGTAATATCACGTGACTTAAAGAGGAAATCTCCAATTTTCACAATTAATAAGGTAAAAACAGATTTTTAAAGTAAATATTTTATAAATTATTATAGATTTATTTCGTACACAAAGGTAAAATGGTACACTATGATAAGACAAAAACAAGAATAAAGTATAGATATATAAGTATAGTTTCTAGTCGGAACATAAAAAGTTGAACATGGTTGCGCTCTCATTATCATCAAAGTTGTTTAGAATAAAATTATCTTCTTTAACTTTAAGTAATTCATGAAGAATGGGTATTTTCCATTCTTGGTCTAAAGGAATATGATTGTATATCACATTTGTTTTCACGCAAAATTTATTTAGATTTCTATATTGTACATTACAATCTTGTGCAATAGATTCAAGATTTTTACATTTTTAAAGGGACTGAAGCTGTGATTTAAAGAGCATCTTATTAAAAAAAATTGCCCGATTCGCACAGTAACCTGTAAACGTTTTTCTGATCAAGGAAGAATGAAATATCCTTGTTTTTCAAATTGAAAATGATTTTTCTTAAATATATGTTAAATGCATAAAAAGAATGAACTTTCAGGTATGTATCTTGGCCAGTTGTTGAGTAGAACTTTAATGACAAAATAAATATAACATTTTTTTCAATCATCGCCCTTATTTAACGATTGAAAAATAATTATTATTCAACTTTGTGATTT